ATTCCACCAAACCAAACATGGTTTGCCAAAAAGACTGTAAGCTTCAGTCCTATGACTATGGAATCTGAAATGTGCATTGACCTTTTATCCCCTGCCATTCATTTACATCAAGTCACATGCATTATCTTTATTTATTCCACATCCCTTGGTACCCTTATCAATAAACCTTCATTGATCTTTGCCTTGGAAATTTTGTTTAATTAAACATTACCAAAACTAAACTCAAAATAGAAAGCAAGATCGCAGTAGCTCCTTGAAATGTTAAACAAGAACACAAACAATGCTGCAAAAAGTTGCCATCTGTGCAGACAACAGACAAATTAATGTTTCAGGTTGTGCCTCTTCATCAGAATGCTGACTGGTTTGTTTTTTCCACCAGTGCTGTCTGACTGGCTGGATTGTGTCCTACATCTTCTATTCCTGTCTAAAATTAAATTCTGTTGATTGTTAAAGTGTTCAAGCCTGGTGTTTTATGTGGTTATCTAAATCATCTACAATAATCAACATTCATTAGGAGAAATCTGCTTCTGGTTGGTGTGTGAGCACTTCATTGCAATGTCTCCACGCCCCCATCCCCCAAAGAAATTAGTTTTTTGGCTGCAGACTCTGAGCAATGGATAGCAATCACTGTTCTTTGTTCGAGGTCTTTTTATTGAGGCTAATGACTGGTCTTGTGCCGCTCCAAGATAAATGACATTATCTCTGAGTGGGCTGACAGGAAACAGACATGTTAATAGTGAAGCTGCAGGGAGGATCTTCCCCGTTCCTTGCAAAAGAAAAGGCAGGACCTCTAGTTGTGATCATTAGCGCATAATGCATTCCTGCTTTTCCCATGTGGGTCAAGGTAATTAGAAGCATAATGGTGTGTTTTCATATGGATGTCAAATCACAGCAATGACATTCTTAATTTCAATTTATCCTCAATCATTTTAGTAAAGATTTTTTTTGCTCTGTGGTGGGCTACATCTCTTTGAAAAGAAACAATTTCAGGTCATTTTTTTCCAGCACACCCTTATGTGTTGTTCAAAGAGCAAAAATAATATTGTTAAGATGACACCCACATTTGTGTCACATGTATATGAACTGGAAAGATTTGGAGTATGCAGTTTTTAAAAATACATATGCATTGATCTTTTTCAAGAGTATCTGACATTTGTAGACCCCAGTGTATAAACAATGGGAAATCAGAATTTTGTGTTTTTCTCATATGTTTTCACTCTCAATGGAATCTGTTACTTGTCAGTAGCAGAAAATGACCCTGATTGCAGAGTTTTAGTTGAATACAGGATCTGAAATGAAGTAGTATGGAAGTGAGATAGGAAATCCGTCTGCGTAATCAAATCTTGCAGCCAACTAAGCATAAAGCTCGTCCTTGAGCTTAGATAAACCCTGTCAAACACAAACTCTCCAATCCTTATTGAAAACCAAAGGCTGAAAGTATCTGTATGTACAGAGATTGACTCCACAAGTAAAATAAAAGCTGTCAAGTTTTCAAGTGCGACCCTGGTAATGTATTAAAATGTCAAATCCAACTTTCACTATCATTTTAAGTTAGTGTAATACATGATTTACGGTATAGCAGTTTGTCGAATGGACAAGATCTGTGTTTCCCAAAAACATGATGGAATTACTCGAGGTCGTTGAAAATGTATGCTGTGGTAGGTTGTACATTTTCTTTCTGTTCCTTTCTTCCAAGCTGAGGCTCTGTGCGGAGAATGAAAACAGCAGAATGAAGCTCTGTGCGTGTGTGCTTTTGACCAGCTGAAACTCACATATCCTATTTTTTAAAAGGAAACTCAATTTAAGCATTGTGAAAAATGTGCCCGAAAAGCGTATTCAGCAGGTTAAATAGCTGCTTGAACCAGCATTTTAATTCAGCAGCTTGGAACATTAACTGGGGCGAGATCTTCAAATTGGATAACCTTTGTTAGTGAAGAACAGAAGATCAGGCCAAGCGATAATTTGCCACTAAAGGGTATTAAAATAGAAGGACAGCAGTAATACCAAAGGCTGCTTTGTGTCCATGATGGTTTTTAGTGCAGTGTGTCTGTTGCTTTTTTCCCTTTAATCCAAACTAAATGGTCTTGGCAAGTTGAACAAAGCCTTTGCATTTGAATGAAAGGTTGTAAAACTATTCAGACATTAATGCATGGATTAAATGTGGATTGGGTGACAATAGGGCTGTTTGTATCATTTTTTTGGGAGCTAAAAGCAGAATTGTGAGGGGAGGGGTGATGCATTTCTCTGGGGTCACATGTCAGGATTGCTGTTCCATTAGTAGGTTTAGCGGGGGATGTGAATTGTATCTGTTCAAGGTTTTAACTAAATTGTTCAATTTTTCTAACATTGGGCAATGTTTAGATGCTGATTTAGAAAGGAACTTTTATTTCGCCACACAAAAGGCATAGTAGAAATAATAAAACATATAAAATGCTGTAATTTAGGTTACTGGAAAACACATTGTAGAATTCACTCTAGATAGATATTTTGCCATTGTTATACTGTTTAATATGAAGTTAAATGAGCTCTGCTGCTGTTTAATTTTTTTTAAGTTGCTTTGTTAAAGACGAGCGGTTAGTGGTCCCTTGATAAATGGAGAGATTGAGACTATTATCCTGTCTTTTTTTCTGTGTTTCAAAGTTGAGCTTTGGTACATATAGAAATACCGTCAAGAACTCAGTGTTTGTGTTTACTTTACAGAGGATATTTCATGTAAAAGAATGGATCTAGATGTTTTCTCTTCAATTTCTCACACTTCCAGTTCATAGTTTACTCTTTATTAAATAAACAAGAGACAATTAAGCCATTTGACATGAAACCTCCTTTTCACAACTGTTTAAACTGATGTTGAACAAGAAGTATGTTTTCAATGGGTAAATGGCTGTAAAATCCCATTCCTGACTGTGCAAGGAGGTGCTTCCTCAAAGAGAGCAGGTAAACCTCTTGATAAATATGTCTTTCTTCCTCTCAAAGTTGACCCTAATAGAAACAGATGGCTTTGTACTGGTTTAGCTTTATCAAGGGGTGTATTTAATTTTATTTTCAATTTTCTCCTAAAGTTTTCACATATGGTGCACATAGCACTGAATATTGACTAAGTGGATTTACATTTACAGGTGAAGCAGTTCATCGCGTTTTTAGTCAGGCCTCTATAAAAGCAGAGGTTGGGGAGAAATAATATGCAGTATTTAAGTGTGCTGTATATTTCTTTATCATTATTAATTGTTACTGCCCAGATATGACACCCAAATCCAATCGGATATTTTATCTAAGTCTACAGCTTTCTAGTAATATTTCTCAGTACTCAGAAGTCAAGCTCTGCTGGAATCTGTTTTCTGATTCTTTCAATCTGAGTTTCTAAAGAGTTGATCCTACTCTTCTTGCCCATACTGCATTCTGCTGTTTGGCTAGTTGTCTGAATTTACATTTGCTGTCGAAATTCTAAACCAACCTTTCCCATGATGCTGTAGCAGATGCCAGACAGCGGAATATAAAGCAAGCAGCTGTTTCCATTACACCATCGCTATATTATCCTACACAATCTGTTTCCTCTGTAAGAACTGTCCTTGCTGACATTACTAATCTCTGCTGGCTCTTTCAGTCTTTGTATCTTGGGGAATGCTTGTGTACTTTTAATCCTGGCAGCAACTCTTATTAGATTCATTGTCTTCATACATTCATTCTAAATAAACAAATCTGGTCGCCTTTCCTTACTTGCAACGTTGATTCTTTCTTTGTCTTGCACGCGTTGATTTTGGACAATCTTGTCTTTGTAAGGAATGTCAGAAGTGTAGAAAGACCCATTCCTCTCTTCCATTTTCATCCTCAGCCTTGATCTTTCACTGCCCAATCTCCTGTTGTAAAATAATATATTACTGACGCACAAAGGGAGCTGTTCTACTTCCCAGTGAATAAAGTTACGGCGTGCCATTGTTGCACATGATTAGACGGTGAATGTCAGGAGAGAATTTTAATGTTACCACGGAAGTCCTTTACTGAACAAATGAATTACTTAGGATAACATCTTGGTCTGTTCAGAAGGCCTATATCCAGCTTTGTTTTAGAGAACAGCACAGTTGTGCAAATGGAAATGAGTTAAATGAAGTACCGAAATAATCATACACAAATTTGTGTGAAACAATGGTATACAGATGCCTGATGGATTAGGAAACTGGGATAGCTATTTGAGTATCAATGCAGTTGAGCAAACTTCTGTGAAATTAGTGGTTTTGTTTTGAAAATTGAAAATCAGCAGATGAGTATGTATGCAGCAATTTCTCCTTAGACTTAAATATGTCTCACTTCTCCCTGTAACAATTTTGCTTCCTTCCTAATTCATGGAAATTTAACTTTAAGGATTAGGATCCTAAACATTAAATATAATCTTCTCAAAGAATAAAAGGAAACTTGGTATGTAGCAAAAATAGTTAACTCTAGAAGGCATACATACAGATGAACATTGTAATTAGACAGTGTCAGTTGTAAAATGTTGGTTGCATTTAAAAGCTAATGGAGACCTGTTTTGATAAAATTAAAGCTAATAGTGTTCCAAAGATGAGATTGTGTTCTCAAAATTAGAGGTCAGCTAGTGAAAGGTTACTTCGTTTCATCAGGAGGTGAATGGACGACATATTTCATTTTACTAAAATACCGAAAGCAAAATAAACTGAGTTATTATTATTCTGTAATGGGAGAAGTCATGTGTCATTAGTGTAACGTTTTTAATTCCAGTCCCTGGGCACTTAAATTGCCTCTGGCTTTTCAAAGCTGTCAGTTTTTTGCTTCCCACTGCCATCTTCTTTACTGTCATTGGCTTTGCTGTTTACAGCTTCTGCCGAATGCATTCATAAATTATGAGCAGTGCAAACATTCAAAGGTCCAGGGCAGGATAATGTATAATAAACCTCAGGGGTGTTCCCTTGGAATGAAAAATGTGATGTACAAAATTATCACAACACTGAAGTTTATTTTCATTTTTGGTTCTAGTACAATGCTTGCAGCATTGGTACAATGACCATATCAATGAATTGGGGTGTGTATTAGTTAAGGAAAAAACTCCTGAGAATGGAATCAAAGTGTTTCAAGGCATGGCCCCCGATACTGGGGCAAACGGAGGTAAGACGGTAATGGGGGATGTATGTGGAGAATGTAAACGAATGGAGCGTTTAGAGGAAGTTTTGCTGAAGAAGGATATCGAGTGGGGTAATCGTAGTGGTGTGGTTGAAATTCAGAGTTGATCATTTTTAATTTGATGCCTTAGGTTGACTGTAGAACTGCAAGATCAGGGATTTTTGCATGAATCGGGCTTGATTATGAGCAGCAACAGTTTGGATTAGCAAAGTATATAGAAGGCTAAGGAACAGAGACAGATCAGAATAAGGGTGGAGATAAGAGTGCTCTGATGAAGAGTCATCTAAGCTTGCTCGCTCTCCACAAATGCTGCCTGACCAGCTGTGATTTCCAGTTTTTTGTTTTCAGTAACAATCAGAATAAAACTGGAATGATCGCGTCTGGAATTTGCAAAGATATAGAGCTGGATATTACACAGCCTCACTGGTTGTTTTTGCAAGGAGGGCTGGGTTTGCGCATAAAATAGGATAGGTGCCCAAGCCGCCACATTCCTGCCCATCCCTCAATATGGAAGGTGGTTGGCTGCTGGAATGAGCAACCAACCAACACATGCAAGTTAGTAATGGAGGGACAATCGAACTTGTTAAAAGACAGGAGTAGGCAGCCCGTTTTTAAACGTGACAAAAGGCAGGAAGGAAGGGGGTCATCTCACTCCAGGAGGAGACGGGGAAGCTGCATGCATCAGGGTCACTCCACTAAGATACCACCCTGCTCTTCATTTCAGTCTGCCTGCCTGACAGAATCGGGCACCCCCGAGCCATCTCCTCCCCTTCCCTGAAGTCTAGAAAAGCCTACCACTGTAAACCCCAGGGACGTAGCAGCCATGATCTTCTTCCTGCAGTCCTTGCAATGTCCGCTTACTGAGCTCTGGCACTGCCAGGAGTAACGGAGTGAGAGGGTAGCAGCTTCCAAGAGTGGCACTGCCAGGAGTAACGGAGTGATAGGGTGGCAGTTTCCAAGAGTGGGACTCCTGCCACCATCTCCCACTCCCAAGTCCTGCAGTTAGCCAACTCACCACAGGTTATGGCTACAATGGAAACCAACTTTCCTTCCAGGGGTCAAGCATCCTGCTCTCCCCCCCCCATTAATTTGTGGCAATTGTTGTAGGTTTCAGTGGCAGATGGGCGGAGATAGGGCAGAGGTGAGTCATGACCTGTGGGTGAAATGAGGCATTCTTGGTGATGGAGAGATTGGGTTTCGACTCAAGTTCAGATAGAATGCCAAGTTGATCCCACATCTGCAGAGGATGTCATTAAGGTGAGGAGAGGATGGGAACTCACAGATAGATTTTTGATGCAATTCCAGACCAGGATAAACTCATCATTTTGAAGTTCAAAATAATTAAGGCAGGATACTTATGAAAATATTTTCACTGGAAGTATTATTCTTGCATTGTATAGGCTTGCATAGACCTAAAGCTTAAATTTCCGTTCTAAATATGCAGCGACATTAAGCTTTCACTTTGCTAATAAATAATCTTGGAGCAAACTTGTAAAACCTGATGTTGATAATGTATGGTACTCCCACATATTAGTTAACTAACAGTCTAGAACATTTGTACTGATAAACATATAGATATTTAATAAGATGAGCCCCTCAGAATTTTATTCCTTCTATCTCTTGAGGTGAAATTTCTCAGAGAAATGGTCGTCTTCATCAAAAAGGTGTTTGGAAGGCAAAGGGTTAAGTAATCAAGACAATCACAGTCATTATCCTGTCTCCTTGATGATGCTGTCCTTATCATATGTAGTCATATGAAGCTGAAATTTGCTTTATTGCCTTTTTAACCACACTAAATTATAACAGAGCCAATGAGCTTGCAGTTGGCTGAGAGCCAGCAGAAGGGAAGTAAATGAATGGTTTAATTGTAGAGCAAAATCATTTGTTTATAGAGAGAAGGTCCAATTTGTTAGTCAAATGTTGTTTGAAGTGGGGGTGAGGAGGAGAAAGAATTGGATGCAGTTGGATCGGAAATGCAATGGCAGTTTCTAATTTCTGTTCAGGTGTCTCTAGCCTGTGCCTCTTCACCCTGCATTCTAGTCAAAACAGAAAATGAAATACATTCTTAATGGGTAAAGGCAATTCTCCAATGAGCACAGTAAGTGCTTTCAGGAGAACAAAGGGCGGGGGATGGGCAATGACAGAGCACCTTCGGAAGCTGACAGAAACTTGTCAAGCCAAGCTGCTCCTAGCTGTTGGGCACCAGTTATTGGCAAAGTGAGTTTACAACCACAGTGGACAGAGTGGGGCAAGAGGAGGGGAGGTGGCGGGGGAAAAATTGTTCCATTAATTTAAAGTAAACCCTTGAGTTGTGATTTGAACTTTTTTGAGTGAAGGACACATTATATGCTGTAAATCTGCCATTGTTTCAGCACCCTAATTAATTAGTGACCTGTGTTAATGGGTAGCTAGGATCTGAAGCGATTAATTTGCTGTGCTTGACATTTTGTGAATAGCTGTTGGACTAGGCTGTGCTTATGCCTTGTGATCATTCTTTTTTGTCAGATGGACAGTTCTTGAGGTTGGCAATGATGTATAAAGATTAAAAATGGACTGCAATTCTGAAACCATATGATTGTGCATCAAAAGCCTAAATATACAGACACATTAAATACTTGAGCCTTATAATCTATGTAATTCTTTTTCATTTACTGAAGAGGGGATGGATTTCAAAGACATTTTAGAAACTGAAATACAGTAATGCATTTCTTGCTAGCGATAGCTAACATAATTCCTTGCTGTAAGTTTTCTCCTGAATTAGTAGCGCCTTCACAGCTTTGCATTTTGTAATTGGTTGCACTTAGCATGCACCACCATAAATCAGTGGCCTAATTACCATATGCGAGCATTAATTTGTATTGTGAATCACTGCTGAGCTTTTTGCAATAGTCAACCCATTGCTACGCTGCTCTCTCTGATGTTTTTACGGTTAATTGGAATGAAATGTTTCTTTCCAGAGGTAAAACTCATCATTATTACACTGTTGCAAATGAATGTGGTATCTATCTAAGCTGCATTGTACAATTTGAATGCTACATATGTAAACAATATTTCTTTTGACATGCCCTTTAATATTGGGTAGGTTTTTTTAGTGGTTCTGTTTTATGTTTGCACCAAGACTGTTGTCATTCGGCAGAATGATGCCAAATTAAACTGTGCAGATGACAGTTGATTGTGAGTACTGCTTCTACCGTTAGATAGAACAGAATATGCAATGAAGTTCAGCGTTTTGTGGTCAGAAACCCAAGGTCATCCATTGTTTCATCAACTACTCATCAAAAGATCAAGACCAGGATTACTTGGATGTATTGCTGCCAATACTGGCCAGACATTTGGGAACATTAATACGTGGAGATGGATCTTTTCCCTTCACTAGAGAGGAAGTCCCACCTTATCTGCTGTCCCAGCCACTTTATAGTCCCATCAGTGCCAGAGTCTGTAGTGGATGGGACTGGGATTGCGAGCACTCTGTGGTGGTGGAAGGTGCTAATAGAAGTGCCACCTCACCTCTACCCCAATTCCTCACCTGGCCTAGACCTGAGTTCGGTCACTTCTCAAGCTTCCTACCCAACCCTGAACTCCTCCTGCAAATTGAGGCTGGGTGGCAAATAGGCCACGGAGTCATTAATTGCCCACATAAAAGGCAAGATTGGGGCAAGATTG